TCGGTACGGTTGCCGTTATGGGCCATAATGGCGTCAATAGTGCTGATTATGTGACCGCATCCGTTCGCGTACGCGTCGGGTAGCGTGTATGCGACGGAGGTCACATGCACTGTCAACATGCAACGAGAATGGGACCACCCTTGGAGTTTCGTGCCCTTACCACGAGCCAAGGTGGCAGCGGGCATGGAACAGGTGGCAGGAGGGGCAGGGAGGGTCGAGAAATCCTCGGATTTGAGAGCTCGCGCGCGTCGCAGCGGGGGAGAACGTGAAAGCTACGGGTGATCGGCGAGGGGACAGCAAATGAAGTGACAGTAGAGCGAGAACGTATTGGACCGGCCAGCCAGACGGACGCGTACGTGCGGCCGTCGCTCTCCACGCGAACGCGACCGACGCTCACGTCGGGCACCGGCGTTCGGTGCGCGTCCTGGACGTTGGCAGGATGAAGGGTCATCGAGATTGCACTCGGGACTCTCCCTCCAACGCGCCGATCCGACCGTTAGAGAAATTTTGATGCCGCGACGCCGATAACGAGCCACTGTTCGCGCTGCCGGATTGACTCCCTCATTTTCGCAATGTCGCTGGACCTCGCATGATCGGACGTATAAAGATAGAACTGTAATCTATCTTACGAAGGAATTCATTTAATCTTATACAGTCGCCCTTTCCACTTAGAAATCGCCAATTTTGCCGATTGCGAATGTACGTTCGGTGCATATCGCTTGAGAATGTATCTAATCTCTCGGTAGATAATTTTCGTTAATATCTAATCCTCGCTGACTGAATATTTTATTCGCGTTTAAAACATAGAGCTTAATCGAAAATCTATGAATGCTTTAAAGCTGATCAAACTTTATATAGCGAGCAATCGGATTTTGCGAGAAGAGAAGAGATAAATATTTGTAATGCCACATATAGAAATTTCAAAGTTCTGTAAACATATATAATTGGTTTGTTAGCTGTGTGTATACTAGAAAGAAAGAGGAAATAAACTAAACGTGCTGGAGTTAAAAGAAACGCTCAAGAAACGGATCTTGTAAACACTAACAATAAGCATGTCGTAGGCATTAAGCACACAGCAGAAATGAATCACACGGCGAGAGCGAAAAGTATCGTGAGAATTATTGTATCCGGTATATATCGGTCAATTAAAAAGCCGGCTAACACACTCCTGGAGTAATGTAAAAAGATAAGAGTTATTACTAGAAAATTACAAGAGCCCGCGCGCGGCCGGTTGAAACGGCGCAAGTAATAGTAAGCCCACTTCGATAATATGCCGCGATAAAAGAGTTCGCGGGCAAGTCGAGCGCGCTTAAAGCTCAGAACGGCATCGGTCTGCGCTCGGCCTCGGGCCGTTCATCGATCGGTCGTATTCACGGGTAGAGAAACAATTTCTCTCCCGCGGCAGCTCGTTAGCCAGACCGATATACGTAGTCGATACAGAATCGCAAAGTTGCCACCATACGAGCGGGAGTGAAATTCCGCGAGGACGTATGCGAACTCGCAAGTGGTTTCGATCGATCCTTTCTCATGCTCGCTCTTTCTCTCTCCCCCCTCTCTCTCTCTCTCTCTCTCTCTCGTGAGAAGCAGGTGCGCCTTACTGCTTCGTTTTAACATTCTATAATTCAAAAGAAGATGAGAGAGAGAGAAGAAGAAGGGGCGAAAAGAGAGAGAGAGAGAGAGAAAGAGAGCGGAAGAAAGTACCGGAGATGGTGAACGATTGCCATGAATCGGAGTGAGTACGCTGATACATGTTTTGCACGGTTGAAAGTTCCAGGGTTACTCATGATTTTCCCGCATATGCAAGCACCGAAGAGGTGTTAGAGCAACAAATTTTCCCTTGAAGAAGGAATTATACACTCGAGCTATTAACTTTTAGAATAATCTGATCCTGGTATAAATTACTGGCGGACTAAAGATAGATTAATTATGAAAATTTTAATGTACTACAAAATTCAATTTAGTATACAAAAAGCGCGCTCATTTTCATTCGGATTAGAAATTTGTTTATTATATTTATGAACCAAATTGTAAATGAATTTGTGAAACTTATGAAAAATGAGTTGCAATTAATATCTGAGAATCTCTTTCGCGCACGTAATAAACATTTAGAATTACCTTGCTGATTTCACTGATTTTTCGTTTTCTCCTTATTTGTCGATTTTAAACATCCATTTTGTCAGCGTATTATTTAAACTTCTAATGCAAGCACACGTTTCGCGGTACCATATAGAAACTTGACGTAGAAATATAGCATTGCCGTATATATATTTGATAAATTCGTCGGCGCGTGACTTAAAATTCTGCATGATATTATTTTTCTGCATTATAAAAAATGTTGTCCATTTGCCGGGCGGCGAGCAAAAAGCTTCCGGCAATAATCTGTTTAAATATCCGCGTGTTGCATATGCGCGCCGTTTTATTGCAGATTATACGTGGGAAACGTGACTTTTAAATTGGCCGCGACAGATGCGCGAGTTTACACGAGGAGGGGTTAATTCGCTATAATTCCCCAATCTCCAGTGAATTGTCGCGCACCGGTCGTCTGAAAATGTTCCATAGATTTCACGCAGGGAAAGAAACAAAAAAAAATAAATAAAAGAAATGAAAAAAATACAGAAACGGGTAAACGATGCGCTGGCTTGGCTCGGCGATAATGAGACAGGAAACTGCACTTTAGAGGAAAGTAATCCGAGGTCAACGACTTCGCCGCCGACAGGTATATCGATGGATCGATCAATTCATTATGATACCGATTTCCCCGTTCCGACAATCCGGCATTGGAATAATTTCAATAAAGCGCCAAGGTCACGTCTCGAAGGCTTATTCATGAAAGTCTTCCCTTAGACATTTGAATATCAGTCACGGAATAATATAGCGTTCGGCTCGATATTAAAAGATCGCACGATCGCATCGCGATTATGTTCCTCGCAGGATCCTGAACCCGCGCGCTCATCAGCTTCGAACGAAGAGGGGGGCGGGAGGCCAGCTTACGCGCGGAAATCGCGAGGGTGGGAGGAGGAACGCGGAGGGGGGGGACAGTCCGCGGATTTAACCCGGGCTGGTGTCAGCTGGGCAGCATAATTAATTATCTCGCATTACCGAGCCAAAAGTGATATGTTCGGTCGTTAAACGTGGTCGAAAGGGAGCATCGAGACCCGACGGGGCTCGTTTTCCATCACGGCCCGTCGTGCGATATCGTCCGTGTCGCGATGTCAAGTGCATTACGAGACATGCACTCATGACGTGTCGCGCGCACTCTCGCTTATAAATCAAGCTTGTCCACCCGTGTCAATACTAACCGGATCAAAGTGAGTTTGTAAAAGTCAAGGGGACGTGGAGATGAGTTCCGCGCTCAAACATTCTCGTTTCCGCGTCCGCCCACTCCGCTCAATCCCAGACCCGATCGTCTCCCCTTCGTCTCCTGTCCGCCGCTCGTTATAATCCCTCCTTTCGCGGCGCGCTTATTCATGTGCTGGTAACGCGATCAATGCTTCTGGCACGAGCCATGCCTGTATCGGATACATGCCAGCAGATAGTATCTGTCCGCATCGCCTGTTATCGATTTTCCAATGGCGGCTCATCTACACGGACTTGCTTTATTACGCATACCGTGGGAATTGTTTGGTCCATTACGCCAAGAACCGATTAGGCAACTAGTCAATATTTACGAGGCTCGAAAAGATCTGCAAATTTCGTTGAACATATTTACTTAGTAGTAGTTATAGTCGGTGAAAGGCGCGACGGTTTTCATAACAGATATAATTTGGCAATAGTAGTGGCACGTGAAAATCGCAACGATATTAAATTATTGCGAATTACGTTTACACAAGCATTACGATTGTCCGGAATGTCTGATACAATTAAATGTACTTTAGTACATAAGTTATATAAAATATGTCTTACACGTTACAATTAAATAAACATGTAAAGAGGGCAGCGTAGATATTATAATGTACCTCTTCATGCAATAACTTATATCGTAACTTTAAATAAACGCAGTTAGCGTGGTATGCGCCGGTGAATAATAATGTTAAACAAGCACAGTTAACGCGGTTAGCGCCGGTGAGCGATAATTAATTTCATGCTTATTTCCGAAGTTACGGCACGTGCGTGCGTAGAAAATATCTCGACGTTCAGTGATCAGCCGCGGTACTCCCATTGTTAATGCAACCGTATTACAATTATACGTGGTATTACAGCCGCCATGCCGTGACATCGTAACCGTGCGATGGCCGGCTACGGTATCGAATTGCGGGATTTCGGGATTTCGCGAAAATCTTTTCCGATAGCGCCCGGTAAAATATGCATCGATACATATTCAAACGTCGACATACATCTCCCCTTCCTCTCCTCTTTCTTCGCCCCCCTCTCTCTCTCTCTCTTTCTCCCCCCCTCTCTCTTTCTCTTTCTCTCTTTCATGAGTTTCGCACGAGTCGTTAGCGTTAATCGCTTTCCGGCGGTCTACGATCAGCCGAGCAAGGAAACGGCCGGTAGACCAACCGTTTACATCGGCTGGAGATTTCAAATTCTATCTGGCTCATCCCGTGTATCTTTCTTTTTCTTGTTCTTTCTGCATCCAATTATTATTCCTGAATACGAAGAATTACGATTTGCCAACGCGTTTATTCTCCATCGAGCTCTGCCGGCCCTCGAACGACCCGCGAATATGAGTTTGTTTCTCCCGGCAGAATTGTTTCAGAAAATGGAGTTAGCGAGGAGCGAAAATAATATTACTTTCGTGCATACGCGTCAGCGTCAGCTTGTCCGCGTCATATTTATCGGCGAAATAAATAATAATTAACGACTTTAATATCAATTCGCGGTTTAAACTGTCTTCGTAATATAACGAAAGACCGAGCATTTTCAATCTTGATTTGGAATCCCATCTTTCGCACGATCTGAAATTATAAAGAGTATATATCAGCGCTTTAACAATCATCAATATTACACGCATTTCAATATCAATTTATGGACTTTTGGGGTAATAAAAGCCACGGGTATATAATGAAATATGATTTATTACTAAATTCGCGAGATATATACATTAGGCCATACACATAAGAACGTAATCTTTCTCGTAGGTTCCTGATATCTCGATGAGCGGAACGGCGCGCTCGATTCCTCGTCGTCGTGACGGCGAGGAACCTCTCGCGCGTTTACCGCTTTAAAAACACAGGTGTGTACGGAGGTACATATATTTATTTTCGCATCGGCGTTTTTACTGTATGTGTGTATGTGTATATGTATGCGTGTGTATGTGTGTGTGTATGTGTGTGATCCAGAAGCTCGTTACAACTGAAAGCTAACACCGAGTACATCGTCTTTATTTTTTTCTTCTTTTAACAACTACACGTCTCGCCTCGCGAGCGAAGATACGGTCGCGTTAGCGCGTTCTCGCGTATATTCCTTATCTGTACTGCGGCAATGTCCCGCGATACTCGAGACACGCCATTTGAACACTTTCACAATGTGGCTAAATACTTCCGTTATCTTCCTGGCGGACGCGAGATTGACATCCCCGCATCCGTTTAATCACACACGAGACTTCCGAGATGCCGAAGTCCTTCAGTACCCCTTCGAGTAACCCTTATACTATTATACATTACAGCGCAGTTATATACAAGGGTATGTACAATTCTTTGCTCGGCCAACGCCGCCGTAAATATCGGAGATATGTCCCCGATAAGACGTAAAACATACTGCCGCCCAACGACACTTCAAAGCAAACGAAAAGCTAAAGCCTGCTCGCCGGAATATGTAAATGTAAAGTGGCCTCGCGTTCTCTCCTGTCGTAATCAGAAAAGACGTATCAGCTATGTACAGTTTTTGTACGTCGAGTGCGGTTAACCATGCCGGCGAAGTTTATTAACTATATGGCGAAGTGAGATATAATTGGAGCACGAAAATAACGATGGTGGATGTAATGCGGAATTTAAGCATCACTCTATCTGCAGTGGAATTTCTCGTACCGAATGAGGTATTAAAACGTCCGACTGTATTAATTATTTAAAAAGTGCTGCTCCGATAAACATAAACGATATAATAATAATTATGTGAAAATTTTGTTGATTTACGTAAAACCAGAACGATCGGAGCGATCATTTCTATTTATGCGTATCCCCTGTTTTATATAAACTTTTAATCCGTATTAATGATTTGAAAGAAAATCCAGTGCTTTTCACATTATTTGGATACCAAAAAGCTTGTCCATATAAAATATCGGAAATTCTTTTAAATAGCCACTTATTTGCGCCAATACATGTCTGGCAGTAATTACGAACCGCAGGAAAAAAGGAATCGGAGCAAATGAATGTACGGTGACGTACGATTATACGTATACGTAATTAATACGGTATATATACCTTCGTACTGTCATGATGACGTGTTACCTTCTTAAGCCATGACGCAGCATGCTGCTAAGAATTAATGATAAATTCTCAACGCGAAACTTTACCTCCCACCTTTAAGTTCCGGCGGGTCTTTTGCATGCCAAAGAGACACCCTGATCACGCAGAACCCTCCACACGCGCGCTATAATAACTCACTAAAATCATGTATAGAACAATCTTTTTTCACTCCGCAAATTGTATTTATCCCGCCGAAACGCGTCTCGCTCGTGCTCGATTTAACATTTGCCGACAAACGGAGTGCAATACTGGAATTCCAACATGAATTTGCGATAAACGAACGACCGCGCACGCTCCCATTCCTCTTTACAGCCTCACGCGACTCCTCGTATAAACGCGGCGCATCCTGCGAACAATCCCATGATCGCGAGACCTTGCTACTGTTATCTAGGAAGTTATCGATTCCGAAATGGGAAGCGCGGAACTAGAAGAGCTTAACGGTTGTATTTGTTGCACGCGCTGCTGTTGTCGATAAACGCATCGAGGAAAAGCGAGACAAAGAGCGAATAGCGTAACGTCATTTCTGCGCGTTTGTAACATTTCAGTACACTTCATCACCGGTATCGCCGAATCTGTCATGAAATCCTCAATACAAACTGGGAATTTGAAAACAAAATTGCAATAATAAGGCTAACAATGCAAATCATACGCGAAAATGTGTTTCGAAGGTTTCCTATTAGATATCGCCTCGCATACAGTTACAAGCGGCTTTTCCGCGGATTATGGAAGATGATTGTATTCGCGATGAAGGCAAAGACCGATATCGCTCGCACAACCCTCCGGGATTCCAATTGAATATTTTATCGAATCGTCCTCTCGGAAGCGCATCTAATTAAACTTTAATGAGCGGTATCTTAATCGTAGTCCGCGAATATCCTCTCATCTAATGTTCTCGTGAGGAGACTAAACGTCCTAGTTTCGGGCGTGAGTCCACTTCGATGTCCTTCGAATGTATAATGGGTTTTATCGACGCCCGCGTCCCGGTCGCGGTGCTCCGAAAATCTAGCTATTATATTTATTACGTGAACATTTATTTATTTACGTCGACCTGTCGATCGCGATACGACGCACGACTGTACCAGCGAGACACGTGAAAACACGGGGTGGGACGCGGAAATGTAACAACTATTAATCTCGGGTGAAAAAATAACGCATTTCCGCGGAGAGTCCTGTATAAATATCTACGTCAGCCCTGTGTACGTTGAACTTTGTAAATTAATCGGCTTACGCGTATGAATCATATTTTCCGATCGCTCGCGATCGTTGATGGCGGCTGCTGCCGTTTCGTGCATATATGTTTATATACATGTGTGTGTGTTTACGCGATAAAAAAAAATAAACACTTCGGGCACGCTGCAGCACTGATGTTTGTTACGCATTTTATGCGTTGTACGATATCTCGCAGGTGTCGAAACGCCTAGGGCAAACAGCAAGCCAATGGACTCCTTTAACTTTTTATAGGGCAGTGATTTTCGACATGTGAATTTACGAATATTCATTGATATTACATATCCGTGATCGATCAGCCAATATTGCACAATTATAAATAAATTATAATTAGTATACAGTGTTCGAAAATTAATTTTCTGTCTTTTCAATAAAAGTTAAATATAACATAATTAAATGTTTTCCGAAATATTTTTAAATAAAACATTAAGCTGCAATATAAATGCTTTTTCGCAATTCTATTTCTTTTTTCAATTTCTTCAACTATGGAGTATTGTTAAATTTTCTATTTTAAATATAATTTAAATTTTAATAATTTTTGGATATATATGAATTATGGATATATAAAACGATAATGATGGGAACTGAAGCATGCGTTATCTATAGATATCTTGTATAACGATGAATAAATTCTCTCAAGATTTTATAACGATATTCTTTTCTGCGATAATAAATGCAATTCTTTTCAGGGGATTACTGTTCACCCTAGCGGTAAAGGTTCTTCTTTTTTACCTTATTCATTTAGCGGATTTTTCGGCGTGAGAATGTATTACGCGGCAAAAAGGGAGAGTGCTTGTGCAATTGGAGATTCGCGAGTTTCTTGGCTTATTATATTAATTACACGTATCAATTAAAAGTTATAATTAGAATGAAGGAAGCTTACGACGGGGCTCGATGAAAACGTGTGTCTACCTAGATGTTGTATATATTTACACTCGGCCGCGGCACGTATATAATCGATAACGATTGCATCCCGACGACAACTGCTGCACCCGTTATCACTGACAGTGGTATCACGCTCAGAAGGTTTTCGAACCCTTCAAGGTACAACGTATTCTAGACGCTTTCAAATAAATTTCTCCTGATTGCAAAATTTTATGCCATTATATCACGGGAAGATTAAATGGGAAATAAAACTTGCAATACTTTATGCACGAAATTATTTAAAGCTACTTCCCCGAGACATTTTTTCCGTATACATCGTCATTTCTGTGCTTTCATTCGGATTATTTTTAAACTATTTTTATGAAAAATATAATATAAGCAAGTCAAATATAAACGAGAAGATCGAAAAACAAAAATACAGAACATAGGATTTGCATGCTATTATTTCAACGGGAAAATTGCGGGCATCGATACATGCCGTTACATATCTGAACCAGGTGCATTTTTAGCTCGTTAAATTTTCTTGATGCGGATTTTAAATTCTTGATCAACTCTGAGTGTTATTTCTGGTACGGTATTGAGGTTAGGTACTTACTTTTCTTCCTTTTGACCTTCCTGATGTGTGTAAAATCTCATTCCTCACCGATGATTCCGATTGACTGCACCTCTCACTTCGTTCTTTGTAAACTATTAACAAAGCGATACATAAAAAAAATAAAGATTCACGGGGTTCAAACTTCCGAAGAAGGTAGAAATCAATGTTTCGTTTTATGTTATAATATCAAGTGACGTTCCAATTGGCAATTTCCGTAGAATCCGTAATAATTTGTTAATAAAATTTCATTCAAATTTATTTTACGGCTGCAGAATTAGTTCATTTTCCAACTTATATCGTTAAGATGGAAAGTTCAAAAAGTTTCTTCTCGTTATCGAGAGTTTGAACTCCTGAGTGCGGCCGATTTGAATCTATTTCACGAGGAACGACGCAGATATCGATCCTAACAGAATAAACGAGCGTAGAGGGAAGAGATTCCTCGCACGTGAGGGAACATCGTGGATGTCCACTTGGTTATCGCGTATTTTCTTCCGTAGTTAATTAGACTATCTAGGATTTTACGAGTGTCGGGAAGATGGGGGGGATGTACTCTTAAGATCAACGACGAGCGGATCGATTTGCCTATTTAACTCGATTTCTCCAATCTAACGAGAAGGCGCAGCGACGTGCAAAAATCGCAAGAACGCGTGGCCGTTCGCCGTTGCGATAACGATCAACAAGTCTGACGCGAATCTCCCGATTTCTCGTCGCAATTCGCTTCGTATTAAGATATGATTGTCTTTCGTCACGAAACGTTGGTCGTTCCTCGCCTTTCGTTTCCTCCGTGATCAGCTTTGTCCCTGTTTCCTCTCGGGTCGTCTTGATGCCCTCATTGTGCCGAAAGGGTCTACACGGGTAGCAGAAATCGTTGTAGTACTGCGGCCATCAACAGACATAGCGATGGTGTTGTCAGAGTGGCGAGACCTTGAACTGAAATATGAAGAAATGAAAAAGTTGTTAACGCAAGTCTTTTTTTGATTTTTTTCAATCTATTTTGATCGCTAATAAAATAGCTGGGAAGCGACAGTTTAAATTACTAAAATGTTAGACGTTAAATTACTAAAATTCTCTAATTTCTCTTCATCGTCAACGACAGAATTATCACGAATACATTTTACTATTTGCTACATCGTTGCTACTCGCGCTAATTCATTCTAGTGACAATTGAATTTCCGTCTCGTAGAAGAAAGATTACGGTTTCGACATGAGTGACAGTATAATATTAATTATGACATTCAATTATTCGCACTACAGATATGTAGGCGAAGATTATGTTGTAATGTGAATAGGAAAATTTCATTCGCACAAATTCCGTTGATATGTGATTAATAAATAATATGACTAAAGAAAGAAAAATTATGGAATCTACATATAACATCTGGGGTTATATAACGATCTATTTCGCGCTGTTTTTGATGTAAAAATAAATCGGTTCGTCAGGCAAAATCATGATTTTGTACTGATAACCCGATTTCTTTTTAGAGCAAAAACAGCGTGAAATATATCGTTACATAATTCCTGAAGTTATATGTAAATTTTTTATATGTTTTTTTTATATAAGCAGCAGAGTTAGGAAAACATTCATTGAAAATAATTGTGAAGTTTAAATATACAATATACATGATACCTCTAAAAGAAATCTGAATAATTTGAAGATTTACGTAAGTTTGTATGCACATCTAATCTATTTACAGAATGTACAATAGCAATTATGGATTTTAAATAGGTTTTTCTAGACACACAGAAAACAGATAAGAGCCTGGAGTTGGTATCGTCACCTTCGTCACGCACGAGTACTTTGAGATAACTCGATAAGCTAGTTTTCTTTGGAGGAACGGTAGTTTAGCTGAAACGTGTGTAACTTTCGGATACATTTCGTAATGAGATGAAAGACTTCGCGCAAACGGCGCGGCGTCCTTATTCTTGCGCTCGCTACTACGCATTCCTAATGATGACAGTTTATTCGTTCTAGTTATACTTTTATCCTATTTCGACTATGTTAAAACACATTAAATTTTTTACGTGGTACGCATTTGTAATTAAAAATAAAAAATTTAACGCAAAAGAGCATCCTGTACTTGTAGGAGTTTGCACAGAATATTATTAGACTAGACATATTTAAAACTGATTTAAAGGAAAATAGTAAGAAGCCAATAATTGTTTTTTTCAGGCATACTAAAACTTGCGTAAAAATTGTATGAAATTATTCAATAATTTCATCAAGATGAGAAATTATTCAACCGCGGTAAAGCCGAACGGAGATCCACGCTATGTTTCCGCGTATGTATAGAAAATGCGGGAATCACGGACGTGTGACAACTTGACCGTCATACATCGCGTGCAAAGCGGAAAATATAGTCGCTATTCAGGCAACGTAAACAGACGGACAATGCTAGTCATTCATATGACATAACTCGGAGGCCTATTGAGCTGCTGAAAATCGTCTACTCAATACAGTTTTTCAGATTTATTCCACGTTCTTTCCTTCTTTTTTTGCCAGGAGCGAACGCGAATGTGTGTGGTATTTCTATCCGCGCTCCGAAAGGAACGGCATTCGACTCATTCCGGAAATATAAAGAGAAATACAATATCAGCCGTCGACATAACCCAGCCGGAGCTATTGTCGGCTCACTCTCGCTGCGTTTTGGTATTATTTGTGAAAAGAATAAAGTTACGCGCACGGTCCTTTCTGCTTCCTATACGAGGGCAACGCACTGAAGGAGAAGAGACATGTTCGAGGGTTGATACTATCTGCATCGAATTTGTTGAATCTCTGTCACAGGTTATCTCCTGCGATTTTTGCAAGAAAAAGTGTGTAGTGAAATTTACGATTTATTCACATTTTAAAATTTTTGTCTTCAATTTTTGCTTCTTATCGCAGCATCCAATTTCTTCGCTTTTTACTTTTTAGATCAAATTACTGATGCAAGAATGACACTCGATGATCATATTAAATTCTTGGCTGCAGTTTTATTCTTTTATGATAACTTAAAAATACATGAAAAAAATTATTTAAATACGTACATTACTGCAAAATATTTAACTCTTTAAACGAATTATATTTCGTGTAACAATGCATCCATATGTTTTGTTAAATTAGTAACGACAGATATGCGGGTCTCACGCATAATAAATGTTCGCGGTTTAATTCTACTCTCGACAGAGTACAAATATAATTACATAACTAACAAAATATGAAACAGCAAAATTACGAGGATATTTTAAAATTAACTTATCCCGTCTGATTAAAATGGATTAAAGCCGGCCGAACGGGGACGCCTTTTGGCAGGATCGACGACGTCGTGACCGAGTTAAACCGGTGACTGGGTTAAAGGAGAAATAAGGAAAGGGGGTGCGGAAGGATAATTTGAGAGGTTGTACAGGAGGGAACGAGGAGGAGGTAGGAGGAGTGACACAGGGAGACGAAAGGTGGCCGCTGATAGAAAGAAAACTGATAGTTGGCAGAGGTTCGAGTTATAGGTAGCTAGCTCGGCGGTAAATGCAGGAGGCGTAGCGCCGGGCCGTCGTCGCGTAGGGCGCTTCCAAGAACGATTCCGCCTAACGAGAAAATCGAAGATCGTTAAGAGCAATTTCTTCGAGTCGTTCGACGTCTTTTCCGGTTTGCCTTGCCTCTTTTTACCTGTCCTCTCCTTCTTACACGGCGCTGTTCGACTTGACTCCGCCGACCGGCACCGGCTGTCTCGCTCTCTCTCATCTCTTTTCCCTCTTATTCTCCCCCGCGTGTCCGTTGCCCCTTTGCGTTTATTTCTTTTACCCTTTTACCCGGTGTCGTGCAGCGCTCGACTCGCCCGGTCGATATTCGGAGGCCCACTTATGCAATTAGGCCGAGTACCATTGGGGTATCTAGCGACGATAAAAGCATACGTTCTTCCTTATATGTTTCGTTATAATAGGTATTTTCCATAATGTTTGCGGTAAATAATGGGTACGATAACGACAAATGTTATAAAGATTATCATCGAGCGCTATTATCTAAGTAAGTAAATTCATGAATTATTCATAGATTAGCGGAATGAATATTTTCCTTCTCTTCAAGTTCGTGAATTACTCGTTATTACATCCAGCATCGACCTTCCTATTTCGCAAAATTAACCGTCAACGGGTCAACGTTTTCATAGGAATTTTGCGCGGAACGTGTTTCGCGCGTTAACTAACAATGTGGGAATTGGCTCGACTTATGACTCGAATATTTCCAGACGCGTTGTCGACTGCGGCATAGCGGCAAAATATCCCGATAACTAGGCCGCGTTTGTATGCGCCGAAATGTTTGTCGGTTTACAATAGCATAGTTATACGCGGAGCTAGTCAAATGCCCGGGTATTATATGCATTGTAATTCCCTTCGCCCGCCCGCGGGATTTGTATTGCGCGGCGTGACGCGACGGCATGCAGCTAACGCACATTTGATCATTCTCGTTGCGCATTCGTAATGCATGAGTCGTTACGATCGTCACGGCGCGGCCTCGCGATGCATTCTCAAAAATCGTCCATCGTCGTCGAATCGAAAACGTTTACCTTCTCATCGGAATGCAATTATTGCTCGTATTGTTGGAACGAATTTCACCACTCTTGCGACACGCAATGCCCAAAATATCTTACGCGTACTCATTCCGTACTTATTGTTTCTTTTTATTTATTGAAACAAGCGTATTCTTCAATGTACTACCTTCTTTAAGGTGCCAATTCATGAGACGTTGAAAATGAGCGTTGACAAGGTCAACGTGGTGGTTTCGCTTTGATGCTAGCGTCAAAGAAATGAAGTTGAATTTGTTTAATATTCAGCGTCGTCGCTGAATCGTCGTTAATCGTCCCAGTACAATCAAACATAGACTTTGAAATACGTAAAATATTCATTATTTTCAAGTAATATATGTATAAATAAAAGATATTATTTCTGAAGATTTTTGCTTGCTGAAAATGAGCGTCGAGCGTCAACGTGAAAAGGCACCTTTATAGCCAGCCAATTGTATCACGATGTAATAAATTATCGATTATCTCTTAAAACAATATGCTGTTCAATTTGTGTCACTTATTACAGTTTCCGATATCTTAACGGCGATATTCGTCCATAATACAACGGCCATAACTTACAAAAATAGAGAGCGCGCGACACGTAACAGCACCCTCTAAATTACAAAAAAATATATATCCGTGTCCGCGGCAGGTGTTCCACTGGTCGCGTATTTTTCGACGTATTTTTCGAGCCGGCGAACACAATCGTATACAAATGCGGTAAATCGTTGATTACCTTTGTACCCCTAATAAAAGAGAGATATGCACGTTCGGAACAGTGTGAATCGTTGGCTGATCGGCCGCGGTGGCTCATTCTGCCAAAATTGACCCGAATCGAAAGCACGACGCTGCAGGCGTGGAGTGTACCGCGTGCGTCCCCCCTCCTCTCCCTCTCTCTTTCTCTTTTTCTCCTCTTTTTCTCTCTCTCACTCTCGCTCTCGTTCTCTCTTTCTCCCTCTCTCGCTCTCGAATGCCACTATTGCGATTTCAACGACCAGTCAACTGCGAGTGTCTGTGCGTTCCCACGAAAAATACTCTGCTTACATCGCCACGAAATATTGCCGCCACGTCGCGTGTAAACGAGTGCTCTCGCGAAAAGTCGATTTATGGTCCATCGGGCGAGCCGAAAAATACTATTGCGGTAAAACTCGTGATATATGTATATCGGCATACGCCCGGTGTCCGCGAGCGTGTGCGCCCGTATTTGCGCGCTGTAACGCAGCGCGCGAATCGTGAATTTCTTATCGTAACTCGAATTGCGTGACGCGAGGGATTAGTTGATAAATATTTAATCGCGCGTTGCGCCGAGCATTGCCGCGAGCGTTGTTGGTCGGGAACGCGAGTACATATAGACACACAAAGCTGTATACGATCTGATGAATCACGTATTCTTCCCCACCCTCTCATTTCCGGTTCGCTCTACCGATTTTCCCCATCGGCGACACCGCGCGCGCGGGAAACGAGGCGCTTTCGCACCGCCATAATTTCGCACCATTTATTACAATTATATAGTTTAGTTTGCTTATCGATTGTTTTATAACGATGCCCTGGATGTCAAAGATGTGGAAGGGTATAAGCAAGGAGAGGAGAGTATAAAAGTGGTCGAAACTAATTTAAGTAGGAATTAGACGATAACGAACGCACCGCGGTCGCGAGCGAATCCGGTGGGGCGCGGCGAAGGAAAGGATAAAGTAACTGTGCAGGTGCAGCTGGGTGAGAGCGTGCTGCGAGGGCAGGTGGCAACGGTTGTAAATTATTGTCTTAATTTCTCCGCAACCCTTGCTCCCCGCGGGAACCGAGTCGGTCGATTAGTCGGGCCCCGCTGTAACGCGGGTCCCATGCTAATTTCGCATGCCAGGAAATAATAAAGCGCGTACATTTCCTCGAGTGGTTACCACGAAAGAAATGTACGGTATATCGATAACCGAAGTTGCTGCGAGTACAAACACCCTTAATCGCGAGTACAGCTCTATTTGCCTTCGCCGTTATACCTGGCGTAAAATGCATTGAATAATTACGATTTCGATGTTCCTAATTTACACAATGTGATTATTGAAGAATGTTTTAGACAGGCTATTCAGGAATTATATTTATAATTTATATATGTTTCGAATGCAATTATAAATTAAGCATAAAATTTATGTATTATATTTCTTAATCTTATATTCAAATTATAATGTAAAAGAAAATATTTTTTCATATGTGTCTATTATTCTTATATTATACAGTCGCGTGTTAAATCTTATATTCGCACTAGTTTTTCTTATTTTCATATTTTCTCTCGTTTTCTGCCACATGATAATTTATTATTTTGATCATACGCATTCATATGTACAGCAATTTAATAAAGATACATTGCGAATGCAAATAATTTTGTTCTCAATACAAGCATATAATTTATTCTCAGACATTGCTGTATCAAATTATATATCAAATTATGTGTAATTAAAATTTTTGAATTGATTATTAAATTTGTCAGTTTACTCCACGTACATATGTCGTGTGCATTTTCCGCTTATTGTTAGTAAAATAGTACGTACGTACACATAAAGCAGAAAATTTAAACATAAATATTAACTTTGTAGATATAATTCTGATGTACAAGTGTTTATGTACGTTTATGCGCATTATTATATGTTTACGGAATATCAAATTATATATATTTCTATCTCTGATATTATCTCATAATATCATCTAAAATGGGTTTAACAACAGCGAAAATTATATATTAATCGAACGTTAATTTCAAATTCTTCTTTTCATTCGCGTGTTTAATCTGTTTGACTGAAGGTTGATTGAAATAACCAGATTCGCGGGCACGAGAGAGCGTCCATAATTGCGAGTCTTTATTTTCGTCCACGTGATCTCGAGCGCCGATAGCGACTCGTTCGTCGGTTAATATATCGATTTTTACTGTAGTGTCATGTGGGCTTACCAAAGACCTCGGTGGTGCGAATATCGACGAACGGGTTGTCGAGTTTGTGAGCCGATTCTACCGTCGCCTCGCACCTGCAACAAGACATTCGATCATGTTTCGGAGTTGGAGCGTGGTGGCCGGCCAGACGGAAGGATAAATTATTGCGCTCCATCGCGCGAAACTCGCGTAAAACGAGCTATCCTATTCGCGAGCAAGTGCGATGTATATTTATAGGGAGTATATGCGCCGAGGTGCCATAGGTAACGGCTCTGTCGAACGACGGAAATATACGGCACGTTGTAAACACCGAAATTACCTAACGTTTATCTTGTCGCTGGCAAGATGACCCGGCTCCAGCTCGAGCAGTAGACTCGATATCGTCGAGTACAGCCCGTGCTGTTCGAACAGTTGCTCCGAATCGGGCTTCACCTGGAAAAACCATCGTTCGTTACGCAACGTTTCTTTTCGCCGCTGATCGAATTGAATCGCATTGAAAGTAACTTTCCGTTTGCAGCATCGGGGAAGAATGAATGTCGCTCGTCGCGAAGTTCCGTCGGGCATGGAACCGTCGATCGATCGCCGGTACAAGCTTGGAATATGAATAAACGGGCAACGCTGCCTTGCTATAAATAAATCTTTGTTATCTCTTAAAATTGCTCGCGTCAATCTAGATTAATGCTAATCTCGTGTAATTAACTATCTGAGAAATTCATTAAGTCTGAGAAAAGGTTGATTATTAAGAAAATAGAAATTATAAAAATGCAGGTATTAACAAATAAAGACGATTGTTATTTGCAGATAAAGTAGCTAATTATAGATATTCACTTGAAAAAAGATACTATTATTTCAAAATCCCGAAATAACCTTGTTAATTAAGCGCGATTCTCGTTGGAACTGATCCTTGCATAAGAACGGAGACATAAATCCAGAGCATAGGATACGTGCCAGGTAATTATACATCTAATAAATCGTAGGCCAGACTCTGCCGCGATGCCGAGAAACAAGGGATGTCGGAGCGGGATGCAATATGCGTCCGGTACATTGTTGCCTCGAAGAACGCAAAGGCATTGAGGAGGAAACGAGGAGCATGAATGTGACGCTGCAGAACGACGATAATGCACCAGCGCGATGCTTCGATGTGATTGCGCCGATTCTAATAAATGCATACCACGTGCATCGCGTGCAACTGCGATAAAACGAGCAAATATCGTTTAGAGACGAAGTTAATATCGGCGCGGGTAGCTTCGAGATTATCGCGAGGATGATTACGGAGTATCGTGTTGAAATGGAATTAAATGTAAACAGGCGTGCTGGCAAACAACGCCGGGGGTATCCTGAATAAAGTTCTTATTATTGTATATGAGACGCATTAAACGTTATAACAAACATTCGTTACGAAAAAGCACAGTTTTTAATGGACATAAAATATAGGATAACCGAGAAACTGTTGCTGGACGTGGTACGTAGAGAATAAATGTTGAAAGTATAGGATCAGTAAAAAAATGTGGGAGCAATATATGTTACATAGGGGAGAAATGCTATTGTTATTCTGTATACTTCCAGCATTGTCTCTCGCAAGATTGGAATCGTTCAATTCAATTTGTGACTAAATAAATAAACAGATAAAATGCTCTGCATTTGTGATTACGGTCGCGAAATGTATTTCGAGTGGCGAAATTGCAGTTACAAATTCATTGTGAAAGTATCCTATATCGGTATATCCTATATCTTATTAATGTCACAGAATTATCGCGCGGAAGCGTAATTAATGCAGATATTTCTTCCCTACTGTTAAGCTAAAAATATACGCGCGGTGAAATGTATTAATGATACTTTCCGACGGTTCCTTCAGACGCGCGTTTGTCAGATTCGCCATATCCATGTCCCGACTTCATGCAACAGCCGGATATACGGATCTCGCTTTGTAATTCAAGTCCTCCAAGTTCTTTATACCCGTACGTCGTATTTTATGTGACTGGAATTTCCATTTTTTGCCACGACAGCGACACAATTCCGCTCGCTTATTCCGCGCCGCCTTTTCCTCCACTCAACTCTCTCTCTCTCGTTCTTCCAATTTTACTCCACGCGTATGACTGTATTCTATGTGTCTTCCCGTTTATCTTCGAAAGTCGAGACTCGACCCCGTTGCCTCCTATTAATAAACCACTTTGCGTACCCATATATATGCATATGCACATACACACGCACACATACTTACTCATACGCGCAGGCATGCCGAATTGTTACATTTTACGGGCTTTCGAATATTTCTCTCGCGAACGAAAAACTTTGACGCGGGCCTCGCTTGTGCGTGTACGCGCGTTAAGCAAGACGAGCAACGGCGTGGAACGTGCGAAAGTTGACGGACGGAACTTCGTCGAAAGTTTCGGTACGACGACGCTCGTTTGAAGCGCAGAATTTCGTAATTAACGAAATCGCGAGACTGCCGTGACACGGCTACGCAAATGGGGCGAAAACGACGAGCCTCGTGTTTCGACGTCGCGTCGCGTCGTTTAAATGTTGCCGAGGACAGTCGTCGCGTCGCGTCGTCCCTCCTGTTCCTCCCTCTCGCCCACCCTCGGATGGATAAGCATCTTGAGGGAAGAATGCTGATGATGTGCAAAAGGATACATCGGTATCGCGAGAGCAAGCGAGGATCCAGTTGATAACACTGTGAGTATACGCTGGAATATTTCAGCGGCCGCATATCATTTTCGGCATATTATCGACAAATTCTAACGCTTTACGTTTTCTCTATCATTTTATGAATTCTGCAGTGCTTCCGCCCGGGTTTTGTCGCCGGGCGTATACGTCCCTTTGTAGCGAGACGCGTTCTATCCTGACGCAACTGTGCGCTATATATTTCGCTACATATATTCTATTTTGTGTGGAAATACGATGCAATTTCGTCGTCTCCCTGGCATATCTACGGCGTACTTACGCGCTATCTTTGAACAGTTGTGTCGTCCGGCAATTTGTCTCGGCGCGCTCGGTAGAAGACAAAAGCGGGATAATAAGAAAATAAAGGCGAGAAGATTAAATAATTTTTAAGCTAGTCGGAATAAGCTCTTGATTCCGTCGATAGTACTCGCTTCGATCGCTACCCCCGTTTCCGACTTCTCTTTTCCTACGATTTTCTCACGATATATCTATATATTACGTATATATCTATATGAAACCAACGATTCCAATCCAGTTTTACCTCTTTCTTTTGCACTTGTTCTCCATCGAAATAGCAACGAGTTCCAATACGATAACAAGACCTCCTGTGCGAGTTACCTTTCTTGTTACCTTCCTTATCGAAATATCTCGCGCGTGTTCTCTGATATCGTAATATAATTTATGATCCTCGAATGTAACGTAATAGCTTTAACATAATAGTTTCTTGTAAACAAATATGTACATACATGTATGTCTTGAACTGGACTCCCAGGCCAAACTCAGAACAAGCGATACGAGTAAACACGAATGACTAATTGCCATGCTCACGCAAGTAAGTTCATTCCGTAATTATTTATTTGTCTTCACGCATGTTCCCTCTGAACAAATGTACAACTATGCAAATGTAACAAATATATCACGTTGAAAAATTCCGCGAGAATGGAGAACACTTCAGATTGCTGTAAAAGTAATTGATGCAATGTCAGCGATTAGGAGCCCGAAATTATGACCCATGTAATGAACGGCCGTTTGAAGAAGAATTTCTTGGTTTCACACACCGGCTGGTAATACCTACTACTCGGCCAGAAAGAATTCATTAGGACCCCGCGAAATTACCCTCGATCTGTTGCCGTCTCTCGCAGACACAGACCACGACCGCGACATAATATTCGTCGCAGAGCGAAGTGCCACATTACAGGTCTACAACGTAGAACACTTCCTTTTATAGCAACATAATTCATAAAAATACTCGTTTGGCTGGTATGGCGACGACGACTCTCGAGGAGTGCTGCCATTTTCGCCGCTCTTATGTGACGACGACAAAGGGTTAAAAAGCGCATGGTTATCACGAAAGTAGGGATTTGGAACGCAGCTGGTCTCGCTTTCTTTCCGCGACGTGATCGTCCAGAATGACCATTATTTTCTTGCGCCGCGCCGTGCGCACTAAGAGAGTAGAAGAAAAGTTAGAATATTTGCAGTTAAAACGATTTTCTTTTTTAAATTTTAGTGCGACACAGCTAATATGTATAAAAGTTAATATTTATTTGATAAAATCATTTCTTTATGTATAAAATAATTCAAAAGTAAATAATTCTCTTGGAATAAATCATGAAACTGAATAACATAGCCGTTATTAACAGCGCACAAAATGTTCAATTTAAAGCGTTAAAGATTGAATAATGTAAAGCGCTAAATGGCATAAAATTAATATCAATTTTCATTTGCTGATCACAAATGTAAGTATATCGAAACAAAATCTGCGAGTTTGAAAAAAAAGCAGACCTTAAAAAATCAGATGTTTGGCCGCTCTATGGCCGCTCTTCGTCGTCACTTTACGATGGCAACACGATTCTCTCCTATCATACCGCTCATCCACTACATATTCCTTAAGTTGGCGAACGATCGAACTTTTTCCCTTCGCGAGATTACTTGACTCGCGTTAACAGGTTTTTCGAGTCTTGCGACACGAACATTTCCGAAACAATATTACTTGTTAAGTGCTATACTAAACTCGCGCAACTTCTAATGGACGTCGTTGGGAGCGTTGCAAAGTTTTCTCGGAGGGAAAACGGTTCGACAGGGGGCGGGGGAGGGAAGAAGCATAAGCGAGAGGTATGTTCCCGCGGAAAAGGAAGACCGGAGTCCGAAAGATAAGGAAGAAAGTTTCGGCGCCGCCGCATGCGATTCACTACGAGAGGCTCTAAAGAAGCGTCGCTCGGTATATTGGCGTAATCTTCGGGGTCTTTAAAGCTTCGTCGAAAAGCACTTGCACTTTACGTGACGTGATTTGCCTATTCTCGACGTAAGAGCGTCGTTTATTGACACACTTCCCCGCGTGGTTCCGTCCCTGCCCGTCGCGCGGCCGACGAGAGTAATCTCTCGTGTAAACGGTGAAAAAGAGGGCCCGTCTCAAGTTTCGCAAATTGAATATTCTCGAGGCGCCGTAATTTCATGTTTTCGGCAGTGCGCTACGATTCTCGCGAGGAAACCTCTCGCGAGGGAAACAGTTATAACACTTACTCCGTTGTATACTTAGGTTAAATCTAACAAAAGAATACAAACGGAGACGGTCAGTAGTTTTTTTTTTCACTCCGCGCAAGTTATAATTGTGGTAATCCTTCTGCTTAAAATAAGATTAATCTGTGTTCTCTTTATAGCTTTACTTATTTTCACAGATATTATTCCCAGCGCGTCTAATTGTTCCTCTATCCTCCTCGTTAATAGAACGGACGAAAATAATTATACGAGTTTGCTGGCGGCCAACAAAAAAAAACCCGGAGATATTCTTGCCATTTATCTTCGATGATTTTATCGAACTTCTTCCCTATTCTCGCTTAGAGCCAAGAAGTACGACCGGGTTTTCTTCACCCGGCAACGCCGATAACGATACATCAATATGCATGCGATAGAAGCTTCGGCGGCCTCGAGCGATAGGAGGATTGAATTATTCGTGACGTGGCGAGAGAAAGGAAACTTTGTAATAATAACGTAAAACGAGAGAAATAAAAATCCCACGCGGCAGAATAGAACCTTCTCTCTCCCTCCCTCCCTCTCTCTCTCTCTCTCTCTCTTTCTCTCTTTCTTTCTCTCTCTCGCACACGCGCGTTCCTCCGTGGATTTATCGCGTGTTCATTCGCCAACGTGAAAAACAGACACCGACGAAACAGCAAGCGAGTGTGTTAGATTTAAAAACATGAGCGAAATGAATGAGTGGGATAAAAATAAAATTCGTTTCCGGATTTTCATCTGAGATCATCGTGCAGGAAGGAGGAGATAACAATTAAGCCAGGAACTCTCGCGCGAACCCTACATTCTCTACTCGGTAGCTTCCTCTTCTATCGCAAACGCAAATTGACCCCTCTCTGGCCACGAATTAATTAGAGAGTCTCGGCTTTTTTCTCGTTCTCCTTTCTGAACGCGCGCTTTTGACCCTCCTTTGTCCGATTCGCGATTATCTCCGCGGGGCTACAAACGAAAGTTCGGAACTGACGGCAAGAGAATAATAGGTAGGCAAAACCACGGCGTATCACTGATCGCGTATTAGAAGGTTTCCAGGTGCTGAATATCGGTGCACGATGGTGGCCGATGCAGCTGTGTATGGGAGGATTGGGAATCCGTTTCGCCGGTCGTTAATTGGAGCTTTGGCTCATCAAGCGTCGCCGTTGCTTACGCGATGAAATCGAGCCACATCGCCGCGACGGTCAAACTCTCAGTCGGCTTACCGTGGAACCAGCTTGCCGTTCTCTCTCTCTCGTTTTCCATCCTCTCGCCGTGCAACCCCGTGCAACCCCAACGCGTGACCGTTTCTGCCCGCTAGTGTTATCCACATGCTATTTCAGGCTTCAACGTTATACATACATGTCCAATAGATTTTGTGCAAGTTTGGCCATCCGTGCGACAGCGAGTACACGCTGTAAACGCTGCCACTCGACAAAGATACAATAATATAATATCGATCGTGAAACGTTCTATTTTCTCCTTGTCGTGCATCTAGCTTGTTTATGTATGTATCTTTGACTAAGATGATACATTGAAAATTCAATTCAACAGACAATATTTCTGCGTTGTGCAATATCTTCCCCGATGCTGCGAGAAATATAAACGTCGAAAAACTATTGCGCTCACCTGCTGGTCATTAACGAACCATCTGAGTTTTGCGGCAGGATGGGACTTGCCACTGGTGCAATTCAGCGCGAGCACGTCTCCGCTCGCGTATACCTTTTCCTCTCCGGTTATCATTGGCCTTTCTTGAGGTAGTGCTGTGAAACAATGAGAAAAATTGTTAGACATAAACGTGGTACATGTGTGTTAATTATACGACATAACGCTGTTTATTTCAGCTCTATTTGCAGCTACTATTCATTTCTAAGATGATATAAAAAGAAGTACATATTATGTATATACTCTATTATAAACAAAGTACTTAAAAAGTGCAAACATTCATGCACACTTGTTTATAATTTTAAGTTGAAATTTATAAAATAATTTCCGGAGAAATAAAATTTATACTATTTAATAAAACTATACTTTTTCAAATAGAGAAGGAAAGAGAGAGAGAGAGAGAGAGAGAGAGAGAGAGAGAGAGAGAAAACACGAAGAGACAATTCTCAGAATGCAGTCGCTTATCTCAACCTTATTCGCCCAAGACATCTAATACTAAATCCCACATTGTTTCGGAGGCATAAAAAACAGCGTCGCTCTTTGGGAACTTTGCGCGGCAAGGCGTATAAAGTCGGGCGCACCATTAGCAAGAAGTTTTACTGCCACTAAACGCGTTTATTAACCGAGCTTTAGATCTCGTGCATTTTAAATTTTGGCGTATACGTGCCGCTCGCGTTAATGTTCTCCATAATGAAGCGGCCATACAATACGCCGTCGCGTAGACACGATTAATAGTCGAAGCCGGGAAAGTGAGCTCCATAAGAATGCATCGGGGATTAGGTGCGTTCGCTTGGGAAACACTCGCGAAATTTACGACGACGGCCGAGGCCGAACGCGCGGTTGTTTGACGCGTATATTTTCTGATGCTCTGATAGACAGAGAATTCGCCTAAATAGGAAATAGATGCTCCCTGTTAGCTTTATTTCTAAAACTCACGTATAAATTTGATTTAAATTTTTAACTTTATTTTAAATAAAAATAATTACATGGTTTTTACACGGCTGCGCGTTTTTAGTAACAAATTTAGAATTAAAAAAGTTTTGCACGGTATGTACTTTCGAATTCTTCTTTTTTTTAGACTGCATGCAAAAACGTTCGGAAAATATATAAAACAGCAAGATTTTTATATCATTGCACAAATAATTTTTATAAAATTTCTAAGTTAAAAATTCCGTTAAAAATTAATTTTTCTATATAAATTTTATTAAAATAAATTAATTATATATGTATAAATCTATGAATATATATTGATTATGCTTTTAAGTAGATTTCGTTTTTGGTTTTAATATAACGCATATTAAACTTTATAATATTAGTTTGAAGAATGATCCATTTTTTATATCATTGGGCGCGTTCAGCAGACCAAGCCGCTCAGTAGCAGTCGAACGTGATTGGCTCTTACTTTTAGAACTAACCAATCAACGTAGAATGTTGATAAGACGAACTCAACAGTTGTGTCTGCTGAACGCGGCCATTATTATATGCGTAAGGAACACGAATGTAATTTCTTGGCTGAATTTAAATTTGATTTCGGTGATCATTTCCTCCATTATAACTAAATCCATATGCAATGTGGGTTAATCTAAAAGATCGGTTTTTATCAAAATCACTCTCCTCCCGATAAAAGATACCATCCCGATAAAAGTGTATCTTCCAGATAAGCTTCTATCGCGACATTCTGTTCGGAATATTTAAGAAGCCAGTCCAGGTTTTACAAAACCACCTTTCGACTAATAATCTTCCCCTTCTATAATCTGACGTTTCCGCCGGAAGCTTCGTTAATTCGTTTCTAAACCACAAACGGCATTTATTTGTTTCTATTTTCAGTTGACTCATTTCAAATAAATTGAATTGTATTATACAGAAAATTATTTCAGTGCAAAAGTATGAACGTTGTCGTTTCTCGTATGTTTGATCGGTTCGGATAAAATATTAGCGAAAAAACATTTTTTAAAAGAATATATAAAAATCCTTTCAAATTTTTTAAAAATCTACCGAGTTTACAATGAATAAAATAGACCAACAAGTAATATTACCGTAAAAAGCAAAAATATGTACATAATTAAAATTTTGGATGCTGTCGAAAAAGAGCTTTTCTTGTAAAGGTGGAATTTATTAATATTAATATGACAGATACTGGATACAGATACATATTGATCGAAAGCACAGTAAGTTCCCCTGCAATTAACTCTCAGCGTGTTTAACGTTTGGCAATAAAGTTATCGTCTTGCCGGCACAGCGACGAAATAAATTCGAATAATTCACGCTCGCTTACTCCCGTTGAAACGCATTCGCTCGACGCCGGAAATGCGATCAAACTCGCACGTTAGCGAGAAGAGATGAGATGGAAAAAAGAAAAAAGTATACAAGAGAGCTCGACCGCTAGGAGAAAGCAAGGCGTAATCAGCCATGAAAACGCAATCAGATATCTATTTTTATGCAAACAAGAAAAAGGACAGCTATATCGGACAGCGAAAAAAAGCTAAATCATCTCCGATACGGAATTCCTGAGTCCTCTAACTGTGATTTCATCTTATATCTATGTTTGATAGAAAATATCTATGTTTGATAGAAAATCGGATATTTTATTTCTGTATCTCGTGTCCCGATTACACTGAATTTTTCGTGACGGTTCACGGGGCGAGATTCGTTGCAGTCGTGAGTGAAAGGCCGCAAGGCGAACGACGAGGGTTATCGATCTTTCCGCGGGCCAGCAGCGTGAGGGAGGAAAATTTCGTCGCAAAGATGCAGTGGGAGACGAAAAGCCGACAGGCCGGCGAAACTTGGCACGACGACAGCCTCCTCGAGACTCCTACAACGATCTTAAAATTCCCCCATCTATCCTACCATCCTTCTTCCATCCTCGACGACCGTCCCGCTCGCGCTGGCGCGCGAGCATCTCGGGATATCTCTTTCTCTTTTTCCGTCTTCTTTGGCGTAGCCCGCGACGGCCTCGGCGCGGGCGGCGCGGCGCGAGAGCCCAGTTACGGCTTAAGACTTACGACGCCGTAATATTTATCGCGTTTCGACGGCTTTATGCACACTTAAACTTTAACGCCCGCGCTTCGCGCGCCGCCCGAGCAAATATCGTGCTCTTCGCGGAAACGCGGAGGAAAGCGTGCGTTCGTTGCCCTCCTTTTTCTCTTTCCCTGATCAAGGGAATCGACGGAGACAAGATGAGAAATAACGGCGTGGTCTTTCATTCCGAATTCTGCAAAGTTGGCACGTCTCGGCGATGTCGGAGAGCGCGATGTCTTGATACTGACCCCCGCACAATTAACTCTCTCGCATTAACAAACCAATCATCAATTTTTACGTCATTCGTTGATATGCCGGATGATATGTATCTCGCGATTAAATATTATGAATGCATATATATTCTTGTAACGCGATTGTACGAAAAATTTTTACGAGCACACCGGTAAAACTGTTATTTAAATCGCATAAAAAGTAATTATTTTTTTCGATCAAAATTGTTTTCGTGACTCATAGGCTCTTATTGCGCGCTTTATATTTTTCGGCGCCAACAAAACGAAATATAAAATTATTAAATTCTATTAATTACATTTCATTCGGCGAGTTACACGTCCGTTTTTAAATATATCTCCTTTATTGAATTGTTAACGACATACGCGAAATTATTTTTGTTTCGTATGCAATGTAACTTCCGCACGAGCGGATAGCCGTTTGAGGAATTAACTGAAGAATAAATGCGCTTAATTTACGCATTTGTAGTTTCACATCTCGACGGGTATTTTCTCTTTCTGCAATAATTCCAAAATCCGTTCGCCGCAGTCCACACTCTGTCGTTCACGAATTATATTCATTTGCGAAATAGCAGACTGTGTGTTGTGGCGAAATAATTATAAGACGATTACGTGTGCCAATAGCGGGACGGTCCCTCGTAATCGTGTCTAACCTTCCCTTGTCGAGCCGCCTACCCTGAGGTGAGTTAATATCCAACTCGGAGCCACTATGTACTATGGTATCGCCCACTTTGACCATATGATAATCCTATTGTAACGGATACCGCATCTAGCGTGTGCTTGAGATAATTAGATACGCTTCCTTTGATCCTCGTAAGAACGGTATACGCATCTACGCGCACGGCCGTATGGATTGTCTATCCACCACGGATTGATCGGTCAATGTCCTAAATGTCGCGTGGGAATCACGTGTCGCGATTATCTATCGGAAATCCAATCTTAGGAAAGAAAATTAACGTGACTATATCAAGATATCGCGCGATCTTGTTTCCCGTTTACTATTTTATACTCTTGCTTTGTCACGGGATAAATCTGTTATATTTGCAGTATTACACATATCGATGCTGTACCTCGCTGCTGTATTGTGTAGCGTGTAGCTGATAAAAGCGCGTTCAGAAATCGCAGGATGCACAGAGATCAAATAACAAAAGAATAACAGACAAACAAAAAAAGAGGGTAGATGACGTTTTCATGTGCAGATTATTGATGAATTTGTAACTCCGCACGGGCGCGTATGTACGCGTACGTTCGATGGCGCAATCAAATAAAGAGCTGAACGATTAATCAATCAAACTGTTATTCGTTTACCCGCTTGAACTGGTCAGTGGAGCAAACGATTATCTGTTTGTCCATCTAATCAATGAAGCGATTATATGGTTGTTTTTTATCTGTTACGAGGTAAACGGAAAATCTGAAATACACGAATATAACGTGTCTAGTTAAAGAGAAGAATTAATTGGATAAGATAAATTCAATTTTTAAATTCAATGTTCCCCGCTACATTCATTAAAGAGGTGATTTTTTCAGATTACTTTATAACATTAACGTGACGTTTGTAGTAAGTATTAATTTTCTAGAGATAAATATGAAAATATTGTACGGCAATTTGTAGAGAGAGAAGATATAACTGATTTGTATTATATTCAATTTATATATTCTCTTTTAAATGTCTTATTCTCTTAATATTAATTAGAATTTTAAAAATTCAAGTTATGTACGATATTCGAGTTTTTAAATTGTTTTTGATTACTCTCGATTACTGTTAATTTCTCTATCAAAGTTACCGATGATCCTTGTGTTTGTCATTCGTTTAATCCTATTCAGAAACAGCGTTTCTAATAAGACGAACTTGACACATTCGGTAATTACCACGTTCTCCGACTACTAGATTGTCTTGCGAGTAATACCGAATCTCAGTAGCACTTGCAAACTTATACGACGCTGTAATCTGATATCGTCAGCACTCCGGTGGTGAGTTGCTGCTAATTTCGCGAACTAATCGGTTCATTGTAGCCAGATGAACGTGTAAAGCGGTAGCGAATTCACAGTTAGAGTGAGTCCTCGGCGGGCTCGTCAAGGATGATGGAATATCACGAAAGATAGCTGCAAGTATCGACTTCTCGTTTCCTCCCATAAGGGTAGGAGACCGATGGTTATCTCTTTCTCTCTCGCTTTTGGCATGCTGCTGCCGAACTCGACCACGTCGTAGTCTTTAGTCAAGTTACCAAAGGATAGACGCGGTCGCGTTCAAAGCATTATTAATTAAACGCGACACCGGCCCACTCACCTATGACCTCCATTCTCGCCTCGGCGCTGACTGTGTTAAAGCTCGGCCCCTCTCCGTTAACTTCGCATTTGTACACGCCGCTGGCATGGAGGTTTGCGTCCTGCAGTGTCACTTTCTGATCGTCCGAGTGAGATTTCTGAAGCAGAAAATGCAATCTCTTACGAGGAATCGTACGTGTAGAATAATACGTTCAAAAGTTAATGGATACTATACTTAAATGAAAATGATCAATCTTTAATACCGCATTCGAGTATTCGTCGATTAATTCCTTTTAATATGATTTGATGCGTTCTATTAAACGTGTTTTTTCTTTTCGCTTATCGCAGTTAACAGCGTAAAAAAATTAATTTTTAACAGCGTGCCGAATTTTTAATTGTAAACTGTTATAAAAAGATAAAAACACAAATTTAAAAATAATACGAATAAAGATAAATTATGCATTAAAAATAAATTAAACAAAAACTAATGTGTGTATTATATGAGTTATATTTAAGTGACGAGAAATGTTTATTTAGTACCAAGCGAAAGTTTATTTAGAAACTCAATTTCTCGTTGTCAATTTGTTAAAGGGCCGTAAGTATAAATATTTGAAATTTTAATAAATGAAAATAAATTGCATTAAAATTTAAATGAAGATAAATTACATTAAAAGACGAAAAGTTTCAAATATATCTAACGGGCGAAATGACAAAAGATGCATATTACGTTTGACAATGCATGCAATTTATTTTTAAGGCCGGATCTTTTATTGCTACTAGAATAGAATTATTAAAGTTTGAAAATATATCGCAAAATGAAGATAGATTGTGTTAAACTCGAAGGGAAGATATATATTTAAGATATTGTCTATCGAGGACAAAGTGGTGAAAGATGGACTTGACGGACTTCGCGATTCTTCCAAGCTATTTGACGGCGTTTAGCCAGCGTATAATAATTCGTGTCATTACGGTAAGGCGGAACGGCGGGACATCGACTTTACGAGTCATTTAGTTTTTAGAACAGTGAATCGTGCCGGAGCAGTTACGTCGTTACAAATGGCGGCCGCAGATCGCGCATGATTACGGAGTTGCTTTCTTTTTGCCGCGGGCTTGCGATCTGCGACTTTAAAAGACTCCTACGCTCGTTCGTTTTTTTTTATTGTATTAAAACGGCTCGTCTATTATACTCTGCTCAAACTTATGCGTCAGTGGAGAAAAAAATTAGCGGGCAAATTAACTGGTTCGGGACTTTTAGGAATTGTTTAAGAAATCCCATCCAGGAACAAATCCATTCAAGAAATTTTTGATATAATTAAAAGTGTTAACACAAAATTACTACACTGAGAAAAAATGTTCTGTATTTTAGTAAATATTAGTTTGCATACAACTGTGATTCCATTTACTAAAATAAAGAAAATTTTCCTTTTTATTAGTATATTGTGTATTTAATGAAAAAAAATATATACTAATAAAAAGGAAATTTTTCTTCATTTTAGTTGTATGCAAACTAATATTTACTAAAATGCAGAACTTTTTTTTTCAGTGTAATAATATATTGCACAAAATTCTCCTTGTAACGTGCTGACAAGATGTAATTATATCAATTGTTGCATTAAAGATTCTGGCATTGTGTCAAGCTCTTACGCGAGTAAAAATAACATTGCGTAAATAGAGTTGTTTTTTTCTCGTCGACTTTTTCAAATGCAGAATTCTTTAAATAAAAAAAGAAGAAAGGTAATAAAAAGTTAAAACTAGCTAAAATGAAGCTAGTGAATTCGATATTGGAACAATATCGATGTGTAAATATCAAGAAAATTCTGCTTTTTCTTTTAAATAAATTTCAAATATTCTTTTTCTCTTAGTTTTAGGTCAATACAATCGATCTATTATGTAATTATGATACAATAATTCAATTCAATTACAGCACAAGAAATTGAGCTGTCGCAAATCTAAAAAAGCAATTTTGTCCATCTATCTAAAAGGCAAATATGGAAATTCAATTTTATATGGAACGATCCGACTAGCACTTGGATCGTATATAAAGAAATATATATGCGCACTTAAACGAGCGAGCAAATATACGTGCTTATTCCATTTATAACGGCATATATACATATATATATATCGCGTATCTCACCGTGGCTGGTCCATAGTAGGTCGGTGCAACGAGTTTAAGAATTATGCGGCGGAGAAACGAGTCTTTGGATGTTCACGAAGCGGAAAATTGGAACACTTCTTTGCTATTCGAGTTTATGGAAAATACACTACAGATATGTTCACTATGACAATTTCCCAGAACTAAAAGCTTTCAAACTGACGTTCAGAATAACGAATCAGATTTTCCCGGGATAGATTTATTCAATAATTGCAGATTGTAACAGTTCTCGCATAATGATGCTTTTAATAACAAGTAGTCAAAAAATAACCCGATTAAGCTCGACGAGAATAGTCTCGTTTATTGATTAAAAATCAAGTTTTCCTGTTAAGATATGGTCTACGTTATTTGTCGGAAAGATCTAAAATTGTCATAATGATTTTTTTATCGTTTGTAATCTATATACATATAATGTTCTATTTTTCGACTTTTTGACCGCATTTCATTCTGAAACACTGACAGTTATCGGAAAAATGTTTCAAATCTCGAAAACAGCTATAACAAATTTAACTAGAATAAAATTGCATGTACCATAAGATGTTTCTCTCGTCATTTTAGTATAAAAAATTTGTTACCTTTTCCATAATTAGTATAATTTCGAAAAATAGTTACGCGCGGGAAAATGGGATATAGGTGCGCTGATTCATTGTTGCAGCAACGTCTATTTGTCGATAAATTATCAAGAGGTTTATCTTGAAATACCTAACGCGAGCGATCGTAGAATTATATTGGATCGAATGAAAGAAGAATGTACGTTGTAGAGAAACGGTGAGAAAGATAAACGCCGTTACCGATAGAAAGGCATCGTGCTGTGGTACCCTGATGCGGGAGAAATCCGCGGTATCCGAAAACTTTTCAGGAAATACCTTTCATGGGTGCGATAAAACTTCGCGCAACCGTGAGGGAGTAAGTAAGCAATGTCTCTTTCGAAGACCTACCAAACACCTTCAAGGATAGTGAAAGTGTTAAAAACGCTATAAATTTGAGAATGTGATACAAGGAGTATAAATGAAAACTTGTCTAAGAAATTACATCACGAGTCTTATTTAATAACGTTTTATGTTTCATCAATTACGTATTAATATCGCATCAAATTGTGCGGTCTTTTGAAGCTAGTTTAATAATTGAAAATAGAAATAATTTATTTTTTAATGTGCACGCGGTAAACTTTTATAATAAATCCCCGTCGAGATTATAATAAATGCAACATATTAGCAGGAAAATACGTACTTTTGAACGCTTATACGCTCTCTCAATTACTGGCTTTAGTGCAACATATGAATGTTGAATTATATCTTTTTTTGCTAGTTAAATGTTTAATAAAAAAATAGAGACGTTCCTATAACAATATTCGTCGCAATGTTAAATTTTGTTTGCATTACGTATTCTTACTAACGAGAATGACGAAGAGAAGTCTGGTTACAAGCGTATCTACTTCGCGATCTTTACGAGGAAATTCAAGAGAGTCGAAGTATAGGATCGAAAAGTCGGACGACCGAACATAAGGGAAAAAGGTCGAGTAATACGCCCCCTCGTACGTCCGGGGAAATTTTATTTCCCGGCAGTAACACGTCCAGAGATTTTTCCGAGCAATGGGGAAGTACAAACGCGAGTTCCAGAAGGAACGGAAATGCGAGGAAGGAAGGCGCGCCCGGCCGCGATCACGTGGAGGAAGTCACGAAGTATAAACGACGTGGTTCCTGCGCAGCAACGTTGACGTTTATCTCGTAGTAAAGGCGCTGTCGGACATAGAGTTCTTACGCCGACAAATCAATTTACGTCCCTCGAGAAAAGTTTCGCGAAAACAAGAGGGGAAATGACGGCGGGCGCGGTAGAGACTGTAAGAATCGTATTACCGCCGACAATATTTCCCACCGGTGGCAATTCGTTCCTCAAACGTTTTACTTCTGTTGTGAAATGATAAGCTAAAGGGTCAAGGTGGACACGTATGGGTCTCGAGAATATCGTACGGAAATCCAGTCAATTCAAATCGATTATATATCGACTCTCAATTTTCGTTTATACTCCCAATCCATTTTCTATCTATATGTTGTATTATTGTAAGAAAAATTGTGATGTAGAAGAGTTTAATATATAGAATTTTGTGATTCTTATTTATATTTCTTTGTCTGTACTATACTGTAAGAAAAATTATTGTGAAAGAATAACCATTAATTCGGTTTATATTACTTAACTGAGATGATTGATGCAACTGATTAACGACTTGCAGGTTATAATTTCTTTTGCAAAAAAATCTCGATAATAGCAGTTTTCTATTATACGAGGAAGTCGAAGCGTTCGCGAGCTTGGTTAGAAGAGAGTCCATAAACTAGCGGTTTACCGGACCGAATCGAAAAAGCAGTCGACAGCGAGGAGAGAAACGCGCGATAACTTCCTCAAAGCATCCGAGATTGTTTGTTGGCATCGCTACGGAAGTTTCGCGCAAGAACTTGAACGAAGGGGAGTCAGATAGATAGATGGAGAAATAGATAGATAGGCAGATAGATGGAGAGAGAGAGATATATATATAGATATATAGATAGATAGATAGATAGATAGATAGATAGAAAGAGAGAGAGAGAGAGAGAGAGAGAAGGAGGGGGAGAGGGAGAGAGAGAGGAAGGATTAAGAAAGATAGAAAGTTTATCTAGAAAATAGGTACGCGCTTCTAGCACATCGCGAGAGATCCAGCTGTTGATTCGTTCTCGATGAAATTTCAGACTCGAGTTGGCAGGTAATTTCAAAGCCGCGTGTTACTTCCTCTTCCTTTTCCCTTCTCTCTCTCTCAATTCTCCTTTTTGCTTACTTTATATCCATATGTCTTCGTTTCTCAACTACGTTCCTACGTAGCTCATCTTTTTCATCATTTTTCCAAGCACCTCGGAATCTCTCTCGGTTTTACGGCAAATTAGCGAGCGCCATTCAAGCCGGATGCATCCATGCCCGATGGAGGTAAACGCGATTACGCGAACGGGTGAGGTGAAAACAATTTTTACATTAGTT